ATCTTTGGGTTTTTAAAAAAAAAAAAAAAAAGTATTGGCACTTTCTGCTTCCTTCAGTGCAAGTTTCTGTCCAAAAGCTTAACAGTATTATTTCCCCCCACCGCAGACCACCACCAACGGAAGATTAGCACAGTCGCCTTTTTCACCGACTTAGTGCACCTAGGTTGAAAGAAAGGAAGTAAGAGAAAGAGGATGGGAGGTGTGGCAAGACAGACACCTCATTTAAAGGCCTCTGGCTCTCGTGAGAATCTCCCCCCAGTGACAGAGGAAAGGAAATGACTTCATGAAGTTTCACTACCAGCTTTGACAGACAATCAAACAGGCACCTACTCTTCAGTGTGCTTAGTACCGGCTGGGCAAGGGGGGAAAAAAAATTGATTATCTAATTTAGCCTTGTAGCCGAAATCCAATTACAAAAAGGAACGAAGAAGAATCTGCTCTGACCTGCTACTTCTACTTTAAAAGGAAAAAATCAGCAGCTCCTGTTGCAACATGGCGTTCTTCCATTTAAAAACTTTTTAATTCTCCAACATTGGAAGATTCACATCAGCCCCTCAGCTTTAAAACACCTTTTAGAGAGCATATACTTTCCTCAATCCATCTTTGATTTTGGCTCTCTGATAATTTAATCGGAACATCTGTCTAAAAGACTGAACTTGTGCGATTTTGGATTTACTTTGAGAATAAGTATCTTAGGGCTATTTCTCCCCTACTGTTACCTTGGAGCTAGCTATCCACTCAAGCCCTGCCACCACAGAGCTGAAACGTAATACAGTAATTTTCTATACAGCTGCACGCTCAGTGGTGGTACAGAAAGACAGCTACCCTAACTATTATTTCTATTGTTTTCCACTAGGAAGAACGAGCACCACTTGGCTCATCAGGATTCACAAGCACTTCCAGAGAGCACAAGCACTAGTTATGCTGGCAGCACCTCCTGCAATAAAGGCAGATTTTGTCAATTTAATCCCACTTTCTTTATGGTTTGATGACACTGGGTCTGCTGACAATATTCAGTTGAATTCTTTACATCTTCATCTGCTGTACACCTTTGCCCTAAGCTGCCAAAATGGAGGGGTATGTTGCCCCTCTGCTGTCCTCCAAAATTAAGAGGATCCT